GAACACTAATGTTATTTTCAAATTTTAGTATGCATTTCTGAGGTCTTTTCTACATATGTCTATGGGAAAATTCTGAGTAATGAGATTGCTGAGTCAAAGGATATGAGCATTAAAATTTTGATAGATACCACCAAATTGCTCTCCATAAAGTTGTGCAAATACACCCTCCCACAAACAGTGTCCCTGCCTCCCCATGCCTGAACCAGCTATGGGTGTCATCAACTCTGTTGGGGCTTTTTAAACTATGAAACCTTCTCCCTCCTTCCACTGGCCATATGGGCCACTGACCAGCATTATTCCATTGCTCTTCTGCCTGACAAACAGAAGTGCTGTGTGAAAGCAGTAGGCAGGGACATCTGAGAAATCATTGCCCAATAAAATGGGAGGAACTAGGCCTGTGAATGTCTGGAAAGCTTGCTTTGAGGGTTAAATGGAGTATCTACCCTTCCAAACATAAAATCTAGAAGTAGTAGAGCCATCTGCTTTGAGCACATAGCCTTGTGTCGGACACAATATATTACTGTTGTCATTATTTTTGTAATTAGGGAAAGTTCTGCCACCCAGGCCTTCGTTGTGTTTGGAGGGGTGGTAGTCAGAGAGAGGAGGAAGATGTGGAGGCTGAGGTATTAACTTAAGCAAGTTTGCCTCTGTCATTGTCAGGCTGCAGATAGCTGCATGTCCTGGCCACACCCACACTCTGGTGTTAGAAAATGCAAAGCACCCGGTAACCAAATAGCATTTCCATGGAGAGCCCATGACCTCCTGGTGCTGTGTGCAGGTGAGAGAGCAAGCACTCTCTGAAAGAAAGGGAGGGAGAGAGTGGGGAGGGAGAGAAGGGGGCACCTCGCTTTGTGAAATCTAAAACAAGGAGCCATTGGAAAGTTCCAAAACCTGATTACCGACAGCATGGGCTCCACTGCTGGCATTTCTGGGATAACCAAAAACTTAGAGACCTGAGAATGGAGTTGGTTACCAATTTAACTGGCCCTTTAAAAACCTTTCCACAAGCAAGGCCAGAGGGTAAAGCTCAAGGCACTCTGGGGAGATGGTAATGGAAGCTGTGTGAGATAGATGGCTAAGTCCTGGGGAAGGAGGAGGCAGAAGTCAGAATATAAGATTAATATATAAAATAACTGACAAAACAAGCCCTTTACATGTATTATTTAATGTAATCCCCTTAATTAGCCTACAGAATTAGTACTGTGACAGCCCACATTTAATAAATGAGAAAGTGGAAGCTCAGAGAAGTTAAGTCACTTGGCCAAGATTACACAGCTGCAAGTAGCCGATTTGGAACACAAACTTGGGCCTGTCTGACCCTAACCAAAATGCTGAGTAGAGCCTCTATTTTGGCATGGTAGGACTCAGCTTGGGGGTAGAGGATGGAACTGTGGGTTGCTGGATATGATAGTGGTATGTTTTCATTTTGTATCTTGAAAAATGACTTATTTTTATCCTGTTGCAGGACAACAAGAAGATCCATGATTTTCACTTTTCAACTGCATTGCTGATTTTTGTACACTTGAAAATTCTATACATTTCCAATAGTACACCCTCCTCCCATCCTTTTGGAGAATACAGGGCTGGTAGCATGGCAGTCCTGGGGTCTTTGGCATGGACTTATGGAGGGAGGAAAGGCCAGGAGGTTATACAGTGTGGTGGTTGGGACAGGGGAGGTTTTATTTTTAAAGTCCAAGCTGGGTTCCCAGGGGCCTGGTGGAGCCTCTAGACCTCCCCAGAGTCTTTGAGGTTGTGATTCATCACTGTACAAACTAGCCAGCCCTGGGTGTTCGTGTTGCCTCTCTGGCCTGTAATTATCTTTGCCACAGGCTGCTGCCCAGCTTTGTTCTGCAGTGAGGTGCTCTTTCCGTGGTCCCTCTGGATTCCCGAGTCACTCTTGGGCTCACATGTGTCTATCAGGATGGGTGAATCATTCACTATCACCTTGGAGGGCAAAACAATTAGGGATGAAAGTGCTCCCAGGGAGAGGGCAATCTCAGGACAAGCTCCTGTCTTTCCATCCCAGGCACTTGTAAGGAGCAGTGAGCTGAGAATTATCTAACGGAGGGTGCTACCGTAGCATGACCTGCAAGTTAGCTATCTCATTGAAAGCTTTAGAGTACATGTTACAAAAGATAGCGCATGGGGGTAACGAGGTAGAGAGGGGTAGAGAGCAAGGTTCTTGTGTTGGACCGCCTGGGTTTCAGACCCGGCTCTGCCACTATTGTATGACTTGGGCCAAATTTCCTAAATTCTTTGAGCCTTGATTTCCTTAACTGTAAAACAGAGATAAAAATAGTGACTGCATCAAAGAGTTCTTGAGAGGAGTTGATGCAGAGACGCAAGTGTAGTGTTTACCACACTCTACATACTCCACGAAGGGCGACGATGACAATCATGATCCTGGGATGAACTCCATGCACGTTTTATAGAGAGAACTGAGCCTCCAGTTGTCCAAAGTGGCACAGCTGATAAGGGTAAAGTTGGGATGAAAAACCTCAGTCTGTCTCCAAGTCAGGAACCCTTTCCTCTGTGATGAACAGTCTATAGGAAAGAGTCTGCACATAGACTATTGTGAGCTGAAAAACACTCTGTCCGAACTACAATGGCTCCTTGGTCTGGGGTTGGTTCTTCGTCTTCTCCTCAGTCTGAAGCTGGGGAGCAATGTAATGAGATTATGTAAATATTTACCCAGGGTTCTGGGAAACCTAGCAGGGTTTCAGGGTAAGCCGTCTCCCAGCAAGCAAGGGCTCGCCTGCTAATTCCCCTTCTCTTCAAGCTGATTGGATTGCCCAGTGCCTAGTCAAATGCCAATTTCCTTCTATTTGGAGGGAGAAAAGTGGTCAGCTTCTGCCGAGACATGGGGAGAGGATGTTTCCAATACAAAGTTAGGTGGTGGTTAAGGATAGAGGTTCTGAGGTCAGGCAGCCCTAGTTTCTGCCTGTCCTTCCCAGCAGTGTGACCTTGGGCAAGTTACTAAATCTCTCTCAGCTTCAGTTCTCTTATTCTTAAAACAGGAGATTATAATGCTACCTTGAGGGGTTGTTGTATTAAACTAGAAATTGCATTGTAAAAAAAGCAGCAAGTATCTGGCACATAGTAAGTGCTTAATTAAAAACAATAAGGCTGAGCTAGGTACATTGTAGTGTATGGCACTTTGCTAGCAAGTCTCTTGTTTGCTTTCTTCTTGCCATTCGCCGACCCTGGTAAGACTATGTCTGTGTGGCCACGTGATCCTTGGCATGTTGGCCTCCAAAAGAGAGTGGCTCAGCAGGCATTAATCAGCTCATAGGTCCTTTGATTCAACCACAGTTCTCTCTTTTCACACTGTCCTCAGTCCAGCCTCCAAAGGACAGGACTTAATACCAGCAACCATTTATGGCAGACTGGTGTGCCCCCTAACATACACTGCCTCTCTAATCCCCACTGCAGCCCTGGGAGATGGTATTGTCTCCATTTGCAGATGAGAAAATAGGAACTCAGAGGTGGTAGGCAACTTCCCGAGGACACAGAGCTCTTAGGGAAGACGAGACTGGAGCACAGTCTATGTGACATATAGATTGACCTACCTGCCCAGGTTTGCCCAGAACCACAGGGTTTCCTGGCTTTTAGTGCTAAAGTGTCTGAGATGAGTTGATTACTGTACATGCAGCCTCCCTGCCGAGGTTTGGCAGTAGTTCTGGAAAAGAGATTAGGGGGTGAGAGAGAAGAAGAGGAGGATGCAAGGAGAGAACAGCAGGAGCAACTCATACTGCTTCTTTCTGGGAAGACGTGGGGACCTTTCCTGCTCCCATCAGTGTTCTCAGGCATCCTGATCTTGCCAGCAGTTGAGAAAGAGCCTTGCACCAGCAGGTGCTAATATCTTCTGTGGTTTAACTCCCATCAGGAATTAGAGTTGTGTGTGCCCAGAGGTAACACTCCCTGAGGCTTGAGGAAAGGCTTCACGGTGGCAAGAAGAGCCACTGGGAACCATGCACTTGACCTCGGGCCTCTGCCTGCCACGCGTTACGTGCGTGCATGACCTCTGGAAAGATGCCAAGCCTGCTGGGGTCCTCATTTCACCCATCTTGTGTGCATCACAAGTCTCAAGGATTTTGGCAGGGGAGGAAACAGTTTCTAAAGCACCATACAAGCGCAGGGTGTCGGGTTATGCCACTGCTACTAGATACCTGAGCTCCAACTCTGGGGCTTCCATCTTTGAGAAAAGCCAATGTAATGCCCTGCTACTTGCAAGGGAGTCTTACCAGACCTTCCTGGGGGTGGCAGAATGAAGACCCTGTGTTCCCTCATTCCCCAGGCTGGCTGGGGGAAAGCAGTGCCCCAAAGTGACCTTCCCTGGCAGAATAGGAAATATGCTGATGTCCCATTTCATTAGAACTTACAATCCCTGATGGCAGGAATTTTTGTCTTTTTTTTCCTCCAATGGCTGAATACCCATTGCCAAGCACAGTGCCTGGCACATGGTAGAAGCTCAGTAAACATTTATTGAATGTTGGCTGTTGAATGGCTCCATGCACAGATCTTCCTGGACTTATATTGTAGTTATGTCACAATCAACCCATCTTAAGTGGAAAATGCACTAACTTGCTGAACATCATGGATTAGCTGAGCCTCCCTTAAATGTGCTCAGAACACTTACTTTAGCCTACAGTTGGGCAAAATCATTTAACACAAAACTAATTTGATAATAAAATGTTGAATATCTCATGTCTTTTATTGAATACTGTACTGAAAGTGAAAAGCAGAATGGTTGTATGGGCCCAGAATGGTTGTGAGTATATCTGTTATGTACCCCCAGGATCGCACAGTTGACTGGGACCTGTGTTTGACACCCCTACCCAGCATCATAAGAAGAGCATCATACTCATATCACTAGCCCAGGAAAAAAATCACACTTCAAAATTCCAAGTATGGTTTCTACTGAATGCGTCTCGCTTTTGCACCATCATAAAGTAAAAAAATTTTAAGTTGAACCATCACAAGGTGGAGACCATCTGTACAAACAAATTGTTCTGGGAGATGTAAATTCTGGTGAAACAATTGTGGAAGACTGAATGGAGAAAACGGGTCAGATTCTACTGAGCAAAGATGGGGAAAGGATGGTCCATTGGGTGGCACAACCAAGAAGCTGGGAAGCAGGCAGTGTGTGTGCAGAAGCTACGCAGTCCACTGTGTCTGGCAAGTACCCTGTGAGGTGCCACTGGAGTCCAGGGAACTTGAGACATCAGTGGAGACCAAGTGGTGGAGGACCAGTACTTGACGTGCCCTCAGAGAGTTTGAACTGTCTGTCTTTAAGCCATTGTTCCCCAAATTTCAACCACTTATATTTTCTTTTCACCATTTTTGCCATGTCTATGTACCTACTTATATTATTTACTTGATAATTTTCACATTGACTTACAGTGACTCTCTATTTTACTTTACTGTTTGTTTTCAGATTAAAAACATATAACTGTTAATGTAAAAATTATTTATACTTCAATTCATCTCACATACTGCCCTTGGTAGGTACACTTCCCTCTGAGGAACACGGCTCTGGGAAATGGGAACCGGCGAAGAGTTTTGAATAAGGGAATTATTTATTGGCTTCTCGAGAAGGCTGCATATGTGAGGAATGGCAGAATGCATATAAAGGTCTAGTACAGTTAGTTGTGACTGAAATGGTAAGAAATATCACCCAGGTGATTTTTGGGGGTGTTTCAGTCTCTTCATGGGCATCAGGATCAAACATGTAGGAACTGCTCTCTCTGTCTCTTTACTCCTCGGTCTCACCTTACCCTCTTTCCCAGAAACTTCTCCCTACTGCTCCGTGCTTTCTGCCAACAGCTCTGAGGAATGCAGATGGACACAGCTAGGTAAACAGAAGGTCCACACTGAGTGAGGCTGTGGGCCATGCAGTGACCACAATGGGTCGGGATGCCTGGGGATTGTGTCCATGTTGGCAGAGTGCTGTGGCTTCCTAGGCTCGTCTCAACTGGGCGTTCCAAGAATGTTACCCCCAGGCCAGGCTCAAGTTCACAGAGCATTGACTCATCCTCCAACAAGCATTTCGCCAGCTGGGCATTCAGCTTCCATGTCAAGGTGACCTGCCAAGCTAGAAAGAAAACGTATCACCAAAAATAAGATGTCTGCCAAGGGTGCCCGTCCTCCACCACAAGCACACACAATTATGAGATCTAGGTTGAACTCCCTGAGGTTTTCTGCTCTACTGGTTCTGGTAATCCCTCAAGAACCATAAATGATGACTTTGAGAACCACAGACCTTGGGAAGACTTTGAAGGCTTTTGGTGTTGATGAAAAGTCCATCAACGAAGGACTTTGGTGTTGATGTGGGATGTCCTCATCACATTGACCATGGCCTTCTTGCATATTTGCCTTGTCCAGGGTGACTCCTGCCCCTTGCCCTCTGTGTCCCATTCTTTCCAGCATAACAGAGCTCAAGGACCTCCCTGTTTTCCACTGTAAAGGAGGTGGGTAGTCTGTGGCTGTTCCCTTTCACAACAGGGCTGTGATCCTAAGAGTTTTCTGATGAACTGACTGTGCAGATTTTTGATTCAGTTTTCAGGGGAGGAGTTCCTTATTTCAGTTTTACTGTACAGCCACCTACACAATATTTTTTTTTTGGTTCTCAGAATTTCAGAGCTATTAGCCTCCAGCCTTAAATTCAGGTTCTCATAAACTTTCCTGGAGCATGGTCATAAAAGACACTAGGTCTCAAAATAGGACTCTTTGGTATAATACCCTTGTCCAAGAAGAGAGATTGATTAATTCCAAAACCTGAACTCACATGTGGTTGCTGAGAATGGGGTTGGGGAGAAAAAGGGCAGAAAAATCATATACATGTCATAATACATGTGGGGAGATTTCATCTGGGTTTTCCCCAAACATGGAATTATTCAGAAATAATTCCAGGGGTTTTTTTCTTGACATTCCACCAACATGTAGGTGCATATGTTTTGAATGGGCTGAATGGACTGAATTTACTTACACAAATGAGTTTTTTTGCATCGTCCCCAAAGATGAGCTTGTCAACTCTCAGTTATCATTTCCAGGAGGTTTCTAGATGCATTCTTTCCAGAGGCGTGAGTAAATCCAGAATTACTGATTTCTACCTGGAAGGCATTTGGAAGCAGAGTCTGACTGATTAGCATTTTACATTTTCTTGAGATGCTCCAATTAGTTACAAAGATTGGGGATTGAGAAACCAATGGGAACCCCCAACCCCCAACTAGGTTCCACTACTGCCCTCACCCTTCATATTTAATGCCTTTATCATCATTTCAATTCTTTGCTCTATTCCTCTGCCATTTCTGGATCCAGATGCCTAATTGCCTCTCACTGTGGTATTTAACCTGCCTAGTAGTTATTGAACATGCTGGGTGGCAAGGTGACCTTTTGTCAAAAGAGAATTATGGTTTCCCAGACAAGACCAAGTCACAACTTTTTCCAATGGGTTTCCCCTCACTCCTATTCTGAACATTCAGGTTTTAAAATACTTGATATTGAAGGGTAGGGGCTGAAGACAGTTTGATAAGATCCAGACCTGTTTGTCTATTTCATGCTTTTTCTCATTTCAGCGTTGCAATCTCCCTCTATGAAACGTTCACATTTACAATTGCCTTCCAGAACTGAGCTTGGTTTTCCATGTCTGTGTAAGATATCACAGTCCAAATTTCAACAGGCTCTTAAACTTCTCTTTTTTGAAGAAAGTGGTGGTTAAGAGCTCTAGTTGTGGAATGACACTGACTTTGGCCTGAGCTCCAGTCCCTTGCTTTACTGTGTGACCCTGGCCATTTACTTATCGGGGTTATGGGGCTCTGTTTCCTCTGAAAAGTAAGAATAGTATCCATGAAGTATACTTTGCATATAGTATCTATAAAGTAAGAATATAAGTAGTACCCTTCTGATGAAGTTTTGTGAAGATTAAATGAGGAGCTGCAAGTTAAATGCTTAGTCTAGTAACTGGAACACGATTAGCACTTCATCAGTGTGAGAGGTCAGTGTTATTTTTTCTTTTTCCAGCTTCATCCCCTTCTCCTACTTTTGTCTTTTGAAACACAGAGACTTAGTTCTCTGACCTCCCATGTGCAACTTCACATCTCATGAAGGGGATGTCTTGGGATTCAAGCTCCATACTTTAAGGGCAGAGCAAACATTTCCTGTAAGCCCACCAAGTGCCAGGCACGCAGCTAATGCTTTATACAATTTCTCATTTAACTCTCCAAACATCTCACTGAGCAATTTATATCCCCCATAAGCAGATGGGGAAACTGACACCAGTTAAAGTGGATGTGGTAAGGTTGTCTGATCTCTCTGGCTCCAACATCTATGTCCTTTACACTGACCAGACTGCTTCTGAGAAAACTGAGTCATCTTGTTTTTTTAGGGTAAGTGGATAGGTGCTGAGTACCCTTAGTCTCCCAACACCACAGATTCTCCTGAATAATAAGGCATCTAGATGGTGATTTTACACATTTTCTACTTGGGTCTGAGAGTTTGTTGTCTCTCATGCCTCCTGGGTGAAAGAGACCAGGCACTGAAATATGGACTCAAGGCTGGCTCCATTAAAATGTACTCTTGGATACTTTATCATTGGTGGAATAATAGGAGAGCCCACAGAACATAAATAGTTGGTGATTCATGCAAAATTTTTTATTGTCTCTGTTACCACCCAGGAGGTGCCAATTTGGAAGGTGTGGGGAGGAAATCCTGCACTGTAAATGATGTTGACACCCCTTGACTTAGAGCAAGGACACCGGGTCAGAAGGATGACACAGCAGAGGGGCCTGAGTGACAGCGGGTGCAGGGAGGGCAACCAGTTAGGGGGCTGCGGCTGCCTCGCCTCCAGCCTGTGCAGGAGGATCTCTAGTCTGTTCTCTATTTTGTGGTGCTATGATAGAGGAAATAGAGTTCTTATGCTAAAATGATATATAAAAACAACTGCTATAATTATAAGAAACTCTTCCTCACACAAAAAAGAAGAAAATACTGACTGCAAGAAGGTTACCTGGCAATGGCCGACTTCTGCCTGGTCCACCCTCCTGCTCAGAGACTGAGAAGTGAGCTTTCTTGAAGACTTGAAGGAAGGCCTGTTTAAACACTCCAAGTAGTTTGATTTAAGAACCAAAGTGCTTATCCCAACAGTGAAATTGGCATTAAATCAGGGCACCGCGTAAAGCTGTTTGTGAGGAAAGATAAGCTCAGAAAGAGAATAACAAGATAGAGGTGAGGCAGAAGGAACAGAGCAGGGGTGAGTTAAATCTGGCAAGGGTAGAGATGTCTTGAGAGAGATTAAAGTATGAAGGAGTTCAGAAAATACATTGTTGGTGCATAGGTACGGTTGGTGACATATCCAGATGTCTGAAGGGTATTTGTGAGGGTGCGAGTGCATGTGTATATTGCAGTCGGTCATTCTTTCCAGAAATGGTAAGCCATCCTCTCCTATTCCAGCACCAAGGTTGTCCCCTGCCTCAGCAGTTCAATGGTATGTGCCATTGGCAAAGGATTTGCTCAACATGTAGGCACAGATGTGATGGCAAAAGATGATTAGAAGGTGCTGTGCAAATCTGTTAGGTCAGCCGTCCACGTCAGACTTCCCAAATAGAATTCAGTGTCACCTTCAGAGCCCATGACACTTTTTTTCAGAGGATTTGAAGATTCCCAGAAATCTAATCTAAGCTAAAATGAAAAGACTTTGGAATTGTGGCTTTTAGAGGGGAGTAGGTTAAGAGACAAGATGATATTTATTAAGCCTATTTGTCTCTAGCCAAGGTAATTGGTGATAGTATTCTACTGTATGTAACTCTGCCTCCCTTCACCCACCGCCAGATGTTCTGGAGATTCTGTTCCTTTCAGTCCTATAGGAATAGAGATACTCTTGTGTGGCTTTCACTAAATAGTTGTCATGTTCTGCCCTGGAGGTAATTCCATGTGTTCAAGAGGGAATGACAGACAGAGACACATACAAACACCCACTTACTATCAAAAATAAATACAGGGCCTCTGGTTAAAAGGTGCTGTGTAAAGTAAGCAAGTACATAACATTTATTAACCTTGTAACCATAGCCAGTGTTGATATTAAGACTCAGACCCCTTAGGACTTGACACTTGGCTTAGAGAGATTCTTTGTGTTGGATTTTATTTAGAAATTAAGGTCCCTGGGATTCTTTGATTCAATGATGTGGATCTTCCAGTAGACAATCCAGCTGAGTTCAGGGTCCCCAGGCCTCTGCACACAAGCTGGTCTGCTTTGCTCCACCCCCCCTTTTCCTCTGGAGAAACCAGCATCAGGACTTGATTCAATGCAGTGATAGGGCCTTGGTTTGTAGGGAAGACCAGGGAGAGTTCTAGGCAAAGCAATGGGGTTTGTAGAGTTGGTTCCAGTTCCCAGTATTACCTTGCTCTTGCCCTGAGGGCATGCTCCGTTGCCTCTTTCTCTGAAGTCCTTGCATCCGTAAACCAGGCCCTCAGCTTTGTCATCACTCTGTTGCCTTCCCTGTCTGTGTCCGTCTCCCAGGGAAGCCTGGGAGCAGAGTACAAGGCGAATCTAGGTTTGGGCTGGACATCTGATACGATAATGAGACTCTTGCCTGATTCTTCTTTGAATTCTTGCCTGAAGGTTGTGGCTCTTAGGAAACTAACAATGTGTCCACATGAAGGCTCTGATGTGTTTGATGTTTTTTGATCACATTTTTAAACTTCTTACCAATGAGAGATATGCTTGATAAATTTGAGACTCTTACAGTAAAAGGTCTCAGCATCCAATTCAACTTTTGACATTAAATATCAGGACTTCCATCCATTCTACCATCTGTATCTATCTATCTATCTATCTATCTATCTATCTATCTATCTATCTATCTATCTATCTATCTATATCTATCTAATATCTACCTATCATCTATCTGTCCATCCAGCTTTGGTGCAAATGCTGTCTTGTTGAAGTTGGCCTTAGGGTAAAAGACCTTCTACTCCCAAGGAATTTCTCTGTAGATGTAACCTGTTTAAAAAAACTGAGTTCCTGTGTGTGTGTGTAGTGCGTGTGCCATCACATCTGTTTTTCTTCTGGGAGGTTGAACTAAATCCAAGTTCAAGAGAAGAGCCAGTACCTAATAAGAACCCACTAAGTATCAAGCACATTGTTAGGTACTTTAGATACATAAAGACTCCACAAATAAAGTGGTTTGTAAGTATGAGGTGACATATTTCCATCCCATTTTACCACCGTCACCACAAAATGACTTCTCAGGAGTGCCTCAGTGTAGCAGTCCTTTGATCTAAAATGGGCAGGACAAAAGCAGACAAAGAGGGGCTGTCATTTATGACAACACAAATGGACCTACGGGGTACTATACCAAGTGAAATAAGTCAGACTGAGAAAAACAAACACCATACAATTTCACTTACATGTGGAATCTAAAAAACAGGACAAATTAACAAACAAACAAAGCAGAAATAAACTCATAAACACAGGAAACAAACTGGGAGTATGGGCAAAATAGGTGAAGGGGATAAAGAAGGACAAACTTACAATTATAAAATAGGGAAATGAAAAGTACACCATAGGGGATATAGTCAATAATGTAATAACTGTGTGTTGACAGATGGTAACTATGTTTATTGTGGTGAACGTTTTGTAATATATATATATAACTATTGAATCACTATGTTGTACACCAGAAACTAATATAATATTTTATATTAACTATACTTCAATAACACAACAAACCACCCCCCCAAAACAAAAACACTAAAAAACAAAAAACACCCATACAAATAAACAAAAAAAAGAAATAGAGCTGTAATCAGAACTCTTCAGCTAGAAATTAAAGGACCTATAATTAATGGTGGTTGGGACTGGACCAGAAAGCCACATCACTTTTTGAGTTGCTTTTGAAGTTTACCACCTCTTGACCACACAACCTCTACTTCCCACCTACCCCTGTAGTGGGTGGAGTTGCTACTTCACATTGCTCCTGATTCATCTCTCAGGCAAAATGTCACCAGTCTGTTCCCTCAGGGCTCTGTTCTCAGATCTAGAGCTGATAGACTAATTGGGGCTAATGTGATAAAAGGCAATAATGACATTTACTGTTTTTTTAATTTTATCAGACATCTTCATTATAACAAGGCCCTTGGGAAACAAACTGGTGACAGGTAGGGCTAGTGGGGATGTTTGGTGAAGGCCAGGGAGGCAGAGGAGCTTCTCAGAGTCCCTCTAAATTGTACTCTCCAAACTTCAAAACCTTCAAGATCTGCTTGTGTTGCAAAACCCTCCCAGATCCACTACTGCCCTCTCACCAAGTCTTATCCTTTCAAAAACCTCTGCATTCATGTTGCATAAACTAGGAAAATAAGCAGGAAAGGAATGTTACTACAACTCACTCACCATTCCACCGTAATAGGACAACCTCTTACTTTTTGTTCTATTCAATCTTTGCCCAAATATAGACTTCTACTTTTTATACAAGGAACTTCTTGGTTTTGATCACAAAAATCTTTGTCTCTTTGCCAAACTTAATTTCTCTTTCCTCTCTCACAGAGGGGAGACCTGATGAGTTTAAGAAATCTGCCTGGATGCTTAGCTCATGCCCAGCCAGTGTCCAGGAAGAGCCAAGACAGAAAGTTAATGGCTAGGGGATGGTATTTTCTTTGCCAGGAGCCATCGCTCACCTGCACAGGTAAATGCATTTGGGACCCAGTGAAGCAGGTCCTTGGCCCAGGGGGGATGGGATTGCAGGGCATTTGAAATCCATAGGCCTCCCCTAGATTCCACCTTCTTGCCCAGACTGTGTTGTTTTATTTTTAGTTTCGGCATCTCGGTCTTTCCCTTTCTGGCTCCAGTAGGGAATGCCAATATGAAATAAAAAAGACCAGGTACGTGTGAAGAGGAAGTGAAGAACCTGGGTAATGCGCCAACCAGATCATCAGCCCTTGTGCTGTTGAAAGTTGATTGTTCTATCTGAACAACTCTGAGTGGACATTCCCTCCCAGAACCTTCCCTTCAAACTTCCCAGAGCTCTTACCTGGGGCTGGGGGAGACTGGCTTTTCAAAGTCCATTGAAATCACCAAGGGTCACTGTCAAAGAGGCAATCATTGTGCCTCCAGAGAGAACCTACATTCCAGGCTACGTGGCTGGGAGCCCTTCAGAACTTGGTTCCTGCACAGCCAGGGCAAAGAGCCTGATGCCAGGGCAAAGAGACTACATCCAGATTAGGACATAAGACAGACATTTAGGAGGGCCCCTCTATCCCCATACCATCGTCTCCTCCACATGGCAACTCTGTTCGCTTTGTTTTTATATTCTTCCTTCCTGATGCTGCCTTTGGGGAGCATGCGTGGTGCCTTTCACCTGCAACAGCCTCTAAGCTGAAAAGAACAGTCACCACCAAGTCAATTCCTCCTCCATTAGCAGGTTGTCTCTCTGTTCTTGAGACACAGTCATAACCTGGTTAGACCTGTTTTGTTTGAACACTAACGTGTGAGTTGGCCAAATGCAAATGAGCCAGTGTTTGTAATCCTTTATTTTATTTTTTTAAAGGGCTCGGCAGCCAATCAGAAGAGGGGGAAGTGACTTAGGGAATTCCCGGTTGGTGGCTTATTGCTTAACATCATACAAAATGATTTAAAATTATTGTCATATGCATTTATCTTCACTCTGATGAGGGCTCAGACGTGATAACACCCCTGGCTCCCTATCCCCATAGGAGCTGGTGTGAGAGCTGCCTGCTGCATCCCCTCCATTAGCCACAGCTGTTGGATTTCCCACCCAGAATCTTTAGGTAAATGAGGTAAGTCCTTCTTTTTAAAACCTTTTGAGTCTGGAATACAAACACCTGTGTGGAAAGAGAAGCCTGCCTTGAATCAGATGAAACTAAATCAGACTCCCAGAGGCAGCTGGCAGGAAGTGAAGCTCTCTACCTGGGCTTGCCTCCCTGAGTCTTTACAGGAATTTTATTTTGGAGGGAAGCTGGGCTCCTTTGGATGTTATCTGTGAATTCCCTGCTTTGAGTCTGGCCTTCCAATCACTGTCAGTTTCACAGCCCTGGGGTTTCCCTCTCTGTGTGACAAAGCCGTTTCCCTGGGTTGAATTCTGAAACAAATAGGCAGCTAAGGATAGGTGACCCTGGTGTAGCTCCGTGTAGAACTAACTGGTTGGCTAAATAGCTGTTGGGGCTTAAAGCCCATGATATCCCTTACTAGAGATGTCTTCTGTTGGTAATTCTTCTGACTCTGTAGTTGTAGGGAAAGGCAGATTCATCTTCAGTATATGCTAGCATTGAAAAATGGCTGGGAAAAGGCAAGGGCATACACATCCACACTGGGAGAAGTGGTTGGGCCGCCCCAGTAGGCAAGGGCATTGGAGAGAACAGCAAATCTCAAAAGCCCTCTGTCTAGAAAAAAAGAGAAAGAAAAAATCTTTTTGTGACCAATTTTGTCATATTGCAAGGGGACAAACTAACCCTTTGTCCCATAATGGGAAACTATGACCAGACAGGTAGACGTGAGTCAGCAGCACCAAATGGCTTCTAAGGGACTCATTTGATTTTGTTTGGACTCCATGGAGAAGTGTTGGTCCCAGTGTGGATAGAACTATGAACAGTGGGGAATTAATCTTCTTATTGGCAAATAAGAAGTGACATTTTCACCCTCTGTCTTTGCCCAGATTTAGTATACTCCCAGGACCGTGTGAGTGTATATCTTTTTAAGGTGAAGCAGAAGCTTCTGTGAGTCTGCAGTCAACCAGTGTCTCTGCTGGTTATCAGCACTGACCTTAGTAACAGGGAGAAAGCGTTTGGACTGAGAACTTTCCACTGGAGGGTCTGGTTCAGGAGTTGGTTCTGTAAAGATGGGTGTGAGGATGTGCTAAGATAGAGCCTTTCAGTGTGTAAAAGGGTGGTTGGGGATCATGTGTGGCTGTATGCTGATTCCACTGAGGTCATGGGGAGAGTTGATTTCCAACAGAAAAGAAGTCATGTTATTAAGAACTTCATGATTAAAAGAAGCTATTAGAAAGAATCTTGAGATATTTTTCAGGCTGTCTTTAATTGTTAGATGTGGAGTTTGCAGAAGGAGCCCCTGTCCTCTTTTGAGACCTCAGATTCTGAGACCATGAAATAACTCATCAATTCCTTCTTCCTGTAATCCGAAGTCATGTAGGATCATGTAATTTCCACACCAATTACTAATGGATCAAATGGGTAGATTTAAAAAAAACAATGGGAACATAAAATGAGGGTCATTTGGAAGTCTGTGATCACAAGTGAGAACATAATAAATATAATGGAGACAATCCTTCTCCATGTTTCCAAAGTAGTTTACAGCGGATTTCTAAAAGCAAGTAATTTTGAAGGAACAAGCGTGCTGTTAAGTTCTCTGTGTTACTTACTGTTCAAGGTGGTGGTATTAGTCAGGACCTTTTTAGGGTGGCTGTGGGTTGGGCTATGCATTTGAGCCAGGCTTCATATGTATGAATCTCCCAGATGTAATTATATTTGTCCTTTTGTGTTAAAAATCAGCTATTTGTTAAATTCAAACAATGCTTTTTAAATATTTTTCTCCATTTTTAAATATATTGTAAACTTTCCAAACTGGAGATGCGCTGGGAAGCTACATCTACACTTACCCCTCTATCTTTAAGCTCCTATTAATTTACCAACTTTACCCAGTTTCTCTTTCAACATCTTTTTGAATCCTTGAAAGTCTGAGATGAAATGGAAACTGAGAGGTTAAAATACTTACTCAACTGCAATCAATTAGCTAATTGGAAACTGGAAGGAACTCATATCAGGTCCTAGGTAACAATGTGAGTGCTTTGGGCCAAAGTTCATGTCTAGGAAGTAAAATTCAGCTTTCTGGAATCTTGTAGTATTTTGTGTCCTCACCACTCCCTGCCAAATTAGGGAATTTTAGCATTTAGTTGTGTTCAGGAAAACACCTTGCTTTTCTGAAAGCCAAGTGTTAAGAATGTTGTTTGATGTTAAAGCATCAAGCACGGACATAGAAGTTTATACAAATCATTAAAAAGTTATTCATTCTTTCCCCCTTCCTCCAGATAGAGTCATCCCTAAGTCTTTTCAGACAGATGTAGTTTTCGAAGACCTCTGGGAGATGGGGTAGGGTGGATAGCGAGAATGCCATGGTAGAAATTGTTAATTCACTAGAGGAGCAATGCCATGGTTTTAAGAAACCAAAATAAAGGTGGAACCTTATTTTCAGTGCCACATTTTCGTCTCCCATTTCTCATGTTTCAGCCCATTTCTCTTATTAAGATGGCTCTCTGGTAGAATGGAAGTGACAATTGTTTCTGTTGTGGGTGGGGCCCTGGCTGGGAGTCTCGGTGCTTAGAGACTACAGACTCTTGCCCTGGCTTCTCTCCTGGGAGCCTGACGGTGTGCTGGCTTTCAGCTTGCTATGTTGTCTTCCGTGGGGATTGTCCACTCAAGACGGAGGCAGCAAGGCAGCCATATCTTGCCAGGTTCTCTTAAATCTGTTGCTGATAACTGAAGAGACAGGGAAGATAATAAACTTCAATGTTTTCTTATCTAATTTTTTATCATATGATTTGTTCTAAGCAGCAGGCATTTGTGTGCTCTTACTAGAAATCATTGCATTTATTTAAACTGGACAGGGTTTCAAAGGGCCAGACTGTTAAGCTGTTCAGGAAGCAAATAAGGCAGTGGGGAGAATGGCCACATAGCAGCTACTATTAGGATGGGACATAGATTCAAGTTCAATAGCATCGATGTCAGGATGCTGACATGTGCTGGAGTGGAAATTTCCATGGATCCTCCAGAGTTATTAGATAAAAAATTTAATGGGCTTCAGAGGAGGGAAAAAAATATATTTCTTTAAGAATCTTCTCTGAAGAATTTCAGACTCCAGATTTTGAGTGATTGGAGTACAGTGTGCATGAGGTGGTGTGCAGGACAGTGCCGGGACTGGCAGTCAGGAGACCTGGTTTTCTAGTCTGGCAAAGCTGTGTGCCCAAAACAATACACTTCACCTCTCTGAGCTTTAGTTTTCTCATCTGGATGAAGGAGTTTGAATCTGATCATTTTTCAGATCCATTTCCACCCTCAGATTCTGACTAGGGTAAAGTAGCTGTGCCTGGAAGTCAGCAGGTATAGCCTGAGTTTGGGAAATGGGGTGGGAGATGCTCCTAGGGATAAGACAGGAAAGAAGATCAGTAGGAGCCCTTTAAGGGCTTCCTTAGGGCCTCCAGAATTCTGGCAGTGGGATACAGCTGGTGGAGGTAATGAGATGGGATACCTGGAGCCTTTATTAGGGGTGTTAGGGTCTGCTCCCATGACAACATATCATTTTTATCAATTTGCCTCACATCTCTGAAGAGGTGGGAGTATAAAAATAGACGAAGCTGACTGCTTTGTGACCACAGGGAGCGGTTGGTGTATACGAGCAGGCACTTTAATGACATCTTCTATAAAACACCAAAGCAGCCCACTAAGAAGTGAACATTCAGACACCCATGGAGCCCCTTTGGTTTGTGTGGTGCTGATCAACTCACTTGACTGTCCATGACTTATTGGGTAGCCGGGGTGGACGTGGACTCACTTCTCCTAAAGGAAGACCTGAGGGGTAATCAGAAGTGAGCGTGGCTGGCCTGGCGGTGAGCAGCCGGCCGGGAGACTCCGGGGTTCCCAGGCAGCCTCAGCCTGAGTCTGGGGCAACTAGAGCTTGCTGGAGGGTCAGCAGAGTGGCCCATATAAGGAGGCTCCCAGGGTGTAATTGGCCTTGTTTTAAGAGATACACCCTGTAAAATACTCCTTTGGAAATTGATTTCACTAGCACCTAACCACACTCTGTCTTCAATTTGTTTTATGGGGCTGAGCCCCTTGCTCTGGTTCACTGGATTCACATTATCTCTTCTCCTCCAATCTCCCCTCTGACCCCAGGGCCTCCTTCCCTGCCTTTCTCAAAAGTGTGTTCTTCGTTATTAAGGGTATCAGCCTATTTATTAAAATATGGCCAGCATAATTCTGTTCAAAACATGCTTTTTGGTGAAAACAAAGCCAAGAATAAAAAGAAGCCAAAATGCCTAAAGTAATATTTTGTTTATTAAATTGATAGACCACCTTGTTAACTGTACTATTCTCATATAATTACTTATTTTTACTTTTGTACAACTTTGTCTAGATGCTTTCTTTGATGTTGTTGTAATTGTGGTGAACTTAAAATTTCATATTTTGCCACCTTCCCCTCACTCAATATCGTAGACACAATTAAACAATCTTGGGACTGGGCCCTTTTTGGCCCAGTTGTGGATTTGGGAAATTTCAGCCATCCAGCCAGTCCTTTCTCAGCCCGATTTCTTCGTGGAATATAAAGAGGGTCATCTACTTTTTGTACATAACAATGGTGCTTGGAGAATATGGTTGCCTCATAGAGATTATTTTAGGATCTTTCTTAGGAACCTTAAAAAAAGTCCCTCAGTAGGACTAATGACACATCCTGGTAGATGAAGTAAGTGGGGTCTGAAAGGTGAAGGCTCTTTTCAGCCCTGGCTTCAGAGTGGCTGTCAACAATACTGGTTTTGTCTTTGCAGTGGGCTTCACATTTAACTCGTATTCAGACTCTGTCTACACTATGTACACTTAGAAAACCAGGGACCATCCTGCCATTTGCAACAACATGGATGGATTTAGAGGGTATTATGCTCAGTGAAATAAGACAGGCAAAGAAAAACAAGTACCAAATGATTTCACTCATTTGTGCAGTATAAAAACAAAGCAGAACAGAAGGAACAAAAAAAGCAGTAGATTCATAAACA